GATAGATAGATAGATAGATAGATAGATAGATAGATAGATAGATAGATTAGATAGATAAGATAAGAAAGAAAGAAAGATAGATAGATAGATATAATGTTTAAGGGCTGACGCCCCCGTGCTGCCCACCCCAGAGGGAAACGATAGAGTCATTGTATGGCATATATATATTATATATATATATACACTAGAGAAACGGAGCAGAATCGTCGTGCCGAGGAATCATCTCATCTGGGCTGGTGCTCTTTGGTCGGCTTTCCTGTTGCAGACAAGGAGGAACCCGAACAGAAACCCCTCGTAAAAGCAACGGGTTTTAGAAGGGCCTAGCTGGACGAATTTCATTTGAAGGAGCTGATTTGGTTTAGGGTGATGCAGCTTTGGTGTAATGTATTTTAGAGAATGATAGCAAGGTTCACGACGGGTCTTTGCCATACGCTGGAGACCTGTGGCCAAGGTAGATGGTTGTTACTGATTGCTCATATTCTTCAAAGCTTCGTATTCCAATTTCGAGTCACAGTTTGTGTTGTTGTGGCTTCCCACTCTGACGGACTCATCTTGGCAACGCACAGTGACTGCGTTGATGGAGCAGGTGCTTGTCCTACCTCCATAGCTCCATTGGATTGACAGCTCCAAAGACGCACTCCCAAGGCTCTCGGCCGTCTCCTTCGCCACGCCTTTCCACCATCTAAGTCAAAACCAAAACTGACCCACAAATTGTCCTCAGAGCGGCTCGGTGACTTCCAAACGTTGCTTTCTGACGACAGCACAATATAAGACGAGCCTTTACAGCCATCTTGCTTCTTGTGGCGCTACGAACCTGTCTCTGGAGCCAGGTCTCTGGAGCTGCTCCAGAGGCTCACGTCCAAGGGCCCGGGCAATCTCTCAGACTGACCCCAAGTCTGTCCCCCGAACCCACCTCCATAGCTCCATCGACCCGCTCCCAATGGCAGCTACGTTGCTTTCTGACGGCAGTAAAGAGCAGTCTTTCACTTTCTTTCCAGCTAGCTTTCTTCCGATGGCCGCTCCAACTCTGTTTCCACCTCCATCGCTCCGTCGACCCGCCACAGCTTCGCCACAGCTTTCCACAATCTCATTCCACACCAAAAACGAATCAAAATTTGTCCTCAGAGCGACTCTCTCAGTTCCAAACGTCGCTTTCTGACGGCAGTACAAAGCCTCTTTCTTCTTCTAGTCCTCTTCCAGAAGCCGTTCTGTAACCTCTCACGGGTCTTCTGGCTGCTAGACTGTTCGGAGGTCCCAGCGATCTCCTTTGCCAAGGCTTCCGGCAATCTCGCTTTTCTCTCTAAGTCCAAACCAGAACTGACCCCACCACGCTTTTCCATCTATATAATGCCTAACCAGAACTGACCCAAAAATTGTCCTCAGAGCGGCTCGTTGACTTCCAAACGTTGCTTTCTGACGGCAGGATGGAGCAGTGTTCTTTGGTGCTCCCCCGCCATCGGCTGGGGTCGGCGGGTATAAACTATAAACTATAAACATCTTGTATATATACCTTCTAAATGTCCCAAGGCCCTTTGAAATTGAGCGCTTTGCCAGGCTTTGTGTGGTGTGATGACTACACAGCTGACACTGCATTACTTTCAAAGTCGTACGAAATCATACCACCTAAGACATCCAGTTTCGGATGCCAATGGGAGGAAAGGGACCTTTTGAGCAGTCACTGAGCCTTTGCAGCACGCTATGTCCCAGTGAGTGTGACTGCCTCTAGGTTCTTGCAGTATTCATGTTAACTACCAGGATGCCGGCCAGCCAGTATCAAATTGTGTAAACCACCCATCACTTGCATGTCATCATTTGGTTTCTATTTTGTTCATCTTCAGTTGGAGGAGTGGTAATTCTATTCCAACTGAAGCTGATGCTGTGGTCTTCGCTTTCCAGTCTTATGCCTCCTTCATCATCCTTATTGACATTCATTGTCTAATATGGTTTTTTGGTAATTTTTAAGGAATATGGATTACAACCGCAAGTTCTGCCTTTGGGGTTGATTTCAATTTTATTCCTTAACTGCAATTTGCCGTGTGTGTTTTTTTACTGGTTAGTGTCTTTTCTTGGTTTAAATTTACTGTTGCTGGTTCATCATCTGACAGTTCAAAATCTTCAGGAATTGGATTTTTGGGAACTTTGGGTTTGTTTCTTTTTGGAGCTAGTTTTACTTATACCATATTTTATATAATTTATTATCATTTTTATATATTCAAGAAAAAGCAGCATTGTTTGATTTTATGATTTTTTTTATTATATACTGGCTATTTATCATCGTTGGAAGCGCTGTTTTCTATTAAATCTATTGCATCCAAGAAAATATTGATTTCTTGATTATTCATTATTCATATTTGTGCATCAGGTTTAGGAAGGCTTGGGTTTGCACTGTATTATAGGGTGTTTGGGTTCCCTTCATCCGCACCCCGCGCTTTGTGGATGTGGTGGCTGTAGTGTGTTTTTTGTTTTTTTAGGTTGGGGTAGTTAGTTAGATAGATAGGTATACAGACAGGTAGATAGATGGATGGATGGATAGATAGACAGATAGATAGACTTTGATATAACACGCAATATTTCGTACAATAGGGTAGATGGATTTTATAGCCATCCGTTCGCCCCGCAATGCTTGGGCTACAACGCCATCATCCACTAAAAAGGCACTCCTTGCTCGTTTGAGCGCAATTTTGTCGGGGTTTCGTGCCTTGCACGATGGTTGATCTTGGATTGAGCCATTTTTTCCTATGGTGGCCATTGCAAGAGAGAAGCATCTCAAGAGCTCATCTCAAGTTCGATCCGCCAGGTTCGATTTGACATTATGTGTCTATCAATTATATTTATGAGGACGCGAGGGCTAATTTTCCCCCAAAAGCAGATAGTATAACTGTAACTTATACACACTATAGTGAGAGTCCCATATTTGGTCACGTCATTTGCCTGAGTTTCTATGATCTTCCGTTGTCTTCCAGTAGCTTGTCCAGAAAAATGTCTCATTCGAACAGCTGTGGGTTGGAGCATCTTAAGGACCCTGAGAGATTTGACAATTAGCGAGTTTTAACTTAACATAGTACAACGTGACATACCATAACAAAACTATTCTCGACTTGCAAGCTCATGAAACGAGGGCATTCTCAAAACTGGCTTGTGTCCACTTCTGATCCGAAAGCACCATGGCTGGCTCTCGTTGCTTGGTGCTCTCTTTGCTGTTCTTCACTTTCAACTTGCAGGGCTGCGATGCCAGCCAGATGAAAATGTTGAGCGTTTTCGTCGTGGTCTGTGGGGTCATGGCCACTTGTGGAACACTCATCATGGGATGCTTGGCTATGAGCCAGCCCCCGGGCCGGGCGAAAAGAACCTGCCTCACGTTAGGTTTACCAGGCTTCCTGGCCATGGTGGTGATTTGGGTGGGCTTCGGTCTGTTGGCAGCCCACATGAACTGTAAGACCTTCAGAGACTATGAACCTGAGAGTTGCGAATGGTTGGAGCCTCCTCCAGGTGGATTCGCGCTGGAGGACTGTTGCGTATCCGTGCCTACTACGGCAAGTCCTGATGAAAGATGACCTGAAATTGCAGAAATTGGAAGAAACCCCATGTTTCACCCGAAGTGATTTCATCTGAGAATTCTGGCTAAATATGCCATTTTGTCTCTGCTGTCATGAAAATATCCTCCTTGCCTTCGTCTATAGCAGGTGAAGTGGGCAACACCTGGCACATACTCTTAGGTGTTTAATCTGTTGAAGTTGCCATTAGCATCAGACAAGTTTGACAGTTGAAGCACTGCCAAATTTTCAGAAAAATCTGCCGTTGGCAACATTTGGAACGACCTGCTATGAATCTACCAAGCACTGGAAACTCAGAATTGGCAGAGGGAGACTAGAGGGAAAACTACACCTAAATAGTCTATGAGGTTGACCTTGCCTATCTTCCATTCAATGATACCATAAGATGTAATCCCCCAAATGCATTACCCCATTTGATAAAATCATCTAAAAGCTTTATTGTGTGACAAAATGAATGAGGTTATTTGCTGATTTTTTCGGGGGAGATACATAATACATAGAGTACTTTACTGGAAGGTAGGCAAGGTCCTACGACAAGCCCCACTACATGTCCTTCAGTGCACACTGATCATGAGCTGTTCCCGTTCCCCAACGCCAGACCCAATTTAGCCGATTTAGTCTTAGTTTTCTGTCAGCAACATCTTCCACATGTTCCAAGGTTGTGTAATACTCGTCTATGGAGCACCCACCTTTTTGCACCAAACCTGCCCGAGGTGATCAGCTACCTCCACATGAACGAAGGCGCTGCTGAGCTGGACACTGGACTTGGTAGGGAGAACTGAGTAAACTCATAGCGTCATAAAACTCATACCTCATATATAGATCCATTCTTGGCGGTGTTTTGACAAATCCTCACATGTACATGGAGAATAGAATTTGGGTGGAAGGAACAATTGTAACCTCGAATGATAGTGTCCTCTAATTACATGCAAACCAGCTCAGGGGCTGCAATGCTGGGATGGTGGTTCAAGTTCTTTTCGAATTTGCTAGAGCTGAAATCAGAGTTGTTTCACATGTCACATGAACAAAGTTCTCACGATATTGCAGTGGTCCCCAATTAGAACTATATAGTATTTGAGGGAAAATGTTAGACTGGGGATTTTAAATCTACAGTACCTCTTACATGTTTGGTCTTTGGAACCTCCTTTGATTAAACACACCCACGTGATTCAGCTTTCTCAACCCACAACTAATTCAGCTAGCTAGTTATTCAGCCTTTTTGGCATTTTGAGCTCCAACTTGAGTGGTCCAGTTCTTGGATGGTCGATAGTCGCACTTAGACCCTTTCTACGATAGATGGTATCCAGTGAACAACAACAAAACTGTGATTCTCTTCCGACAAACTCACAGATTTGAGTCAGTTTTTCAATGTTGGGATTCGTTTTTCGAATCACCGCTACAGTTTAGATCTAAGGTGAAAAGGCATGTTCAGGCTGGCCCCAGATCGGCCTCGTCATGGGGCAGTCGATCCACCAGACCATGTTTAAGGGAAAAGTATGGAGAGATGGGTTCTTGATGAGAGAGTGACTGCTCAGGGTCATGGCCATCAGATCATCTTCCCTGCCAGATCATGGTAATGGTGATCAAAAAGGACATTCTTGCCTCCCATGTGTCAATTCCTGCATGACGCATACATATGTTTGAGTGATTTTCGTCCGACCGACATATCTCGGATCAATACAGGGCCCTTGACGCCACCCCGTGCTACGACATATGGAAAACAGGTGATTCGTTGACGACAGAACTTGGCCGAGACTTCGTGGGCTTGTGAACATCCAAGTTGATATTGGTAGCGGAGCTGGCGACGCTCCTCCCAAAGTATTCGGACGGTGATCTTTGTGTTTGAAGAGTTCCTGAAGATCTTGTGAAAGGGCTTTGAGGTGCTCATCTCACTGTTCGTGTTCGGCGAGGCAATACTATGTCTCAAGCTTTCGGAGGGGCCGAGCGCAGTTCGCCTAGGAGATACGCAGGGACCAGACGCGCCAGAACACCTCGTGATCAAGATTTCCCAGAAGAACCACGAGAACGAGCGAATGGTGGAAGACCCGACACTGGTGGAGGCTTCAGAGGACTGGACTCAGGACTGTCTAAAGCTTGCCCTTCGACAGATGGTTTGAACCAGAAGAACTACAGAAGTTTTCGACGACGTGTTGAGTTGTTCGAAAGACAGTGCCATCGTCGCAGTGTTGATACGGCAGTTGAGGGTGCATTGTTACTCATTTCAAGATTGCAAGATTTGGCTTGGGATTCAACAGAACAGATTTCTTTCGAAGCATTGGAACGCAGTCCAACGCCATTTACATTTGTGTATGAGATTTTGGACAATTTGTATCAGTACGAACAACAAGTTGAAGTGCCATCCCGTTGTGAAGAGTTCTTTGCAGAGTTCCAAAGGATGAAGAATGAAGACATGACTTCATACCTGGTCAGGCATCGAACATTGGTGAAGCGCATGAGGAATGTTGGTGTTGAAGTACCAGCCCTTCTCAGCGGCTGGCATTTGTTGACACGTGCTGGAGTTCCAAAGTGGACACACGTTCAAGTCAAAGCATTGTGTGGTGGTGACTTGGACTATGAGAAGGTTCACAAAGCTTTGATGAAGATGTTTGGCGGTGACCACAAGCCGAATCCAAAGGACCTTCAGAGGACAACAACGACAACAGAGGTATACTTTGAAGATGATTATGAAGTTGTCGATGACGAAGGTTACTATGGTGAAGAAGACACAGGCGACTGGTGGGAAGAAGAAGTGAATTATGAAGAGTGGCATGACGAAGAAGAATGGACAGAAGATCTCGAAGAAGCAGCGGATGCCACAGAAGAAGCTTACATTTCCTACCTGGATAGTCGTCGAAGGATGAGAGAATTAGCTCTTTCCCGAGGATTTTACCCAGTTGTGGCCATTGGTCCTGAAGCAGATGGTCGCAGTCAGAGCAAAGGAAAAGGGAATGGAAAAGGAAGCTCAAAAGGAAAAGGAAAGGGCAAAAGCTCCAAGGGAAAAGGAAAAGGTAAAGGAGGTGGTTTTCGACGCACCTTCGACAACAGACGACCCATGTCAGGTTTGAGGAGACCTACATCAAGCACAAGTGCAAACAGCAGTGACGTGAAGTCAACCCTGACAGGTTCAACCAGCAGTCATGGCCCCAGATTCAAAAGGTTTCGTGTGCAGTCCAGTGGTGTGAAGGAGGTTCCAGAAGAACAAGTTTCGATGGTGGAGGAGACAGCCACCGTTGATGAGTGCTACTTTTCCTCCTTGCTGCCTGGTAGAGCGATCGTTGATTCAGGTGCAACCAGGACAATTGTTGGAGAAAAGGTTTGGCAAGGATGGTTGGAACATGCACATGATTTGCCAGTACAAGTCACGCAGGTTTCAAGAGACTTCAAGTTCGGAGGAGGTGAAACGCTTCGTTCAAGCTACGACATCACCTTCCCGGTACAGGTACGTGGACAAGACCTGAGCGTGACTGCATCGGTGGTTCCAGGAAAGACTCCTTTCCTTCTGGCAAGACCTACGCTGGAAGAGTGGAAGGTGCAGCAAGATTATGCAAAAGGCAGTCTGAAGATCAAAGATTCAGATTGGTTCCAACCGGAGAGAGGTCAAAAGGGGCACTACATCGTGAACCTCCTGCAGCTTTCCTCAGAAGCATTGGGAGTTGAAGAAGTGCTGGCCATTCCAGAAGATGTTGTCGTGCAGTGGCCCGTACAAGATGATACATGGTACATTGAACCTTCCACAGAAGCGGAAGCAACCGGAGAGCTGCCCCTCGTGGAGTTCGAGATTGAGGATGACACCATGATTGAAGAAGCCATGAAAGCAGTGGAGACCGACAGGCGCATGACTTTCTTTGAAGTCTACGTGGATGAAGGCCAGTTGTCACAGAAGCTTCTGAACAAGTATGCAGATGTGAGTGTGGCCAATTTTTCTTTGCCAGAATGGGACTTCAAGAAGAGTCATGTGAGAAAGGAGTTTTTGAAGTTGATGAGAAAAGAACGACCTTTGCATGTGTGGTTAGCTCCACCTTGCACCAAGTGGTCCGTCATGCAGAACCTGAATGCATTGACGGAAAAAGGAAAAGAGAAGCTGATGAAAGACAGAAGTGAGGAGGAAGAGTCTCATCTCGTCTTCGTGACTCAGGTCTTTGAGGTCGGAGAAGAAATTGATGCTGGAGTCAGCTGTGAACATCCTCGTGGAGCCAAGTCTTGGGAGACAGAGACCATGCAGAAGCTGAAGGAAAGATCGGTGATGGATGCCGAGTGTGATCGATGTCGAACAGGTCTAGTCTGCCGAGACAGTGGAGGAAATGTGTTGGGCAAAGTGAAAAAGCCAACACGCATCAGAACAAGCAGTCCCTTCGTGTATGAAGCTCTTCATTTGCAATGCCAATGTCGCAATGGTGAGCATGTGAGAAGGGAGGGGCGATCCACGGCTTTGAGGAGAATGCAAAACTACGAAAGTGGCTTCACAGAAAGGGCAGCAGACGCCATTCATCAAGACATGTTGAAGAGATGGCAGGCACAAGAGACCTTGAAGATCTTCATGGCCGACGAGCTCGATGAGATGGAGATTGAAGAAGAGCAGAAGAAAGAAAGGAAAGGCAACGAAGAAGACAAGGAGATGATGAAAACGCATGGGAAAAAGGCACTCCAGATCGTGAACAAATTGCACAAGCAGTTGGGTCATCCCGGAAATGACAAATTGGTGAAAGCATTGCAGGATGCCAAATTCCCAGAAGAAGTTGTGGGATGCGCTAGAAAGTACAAGTGTGACATCTGTCAAGGAGAAGCAATGAAGAAAAGCGCAAATCCAGGTACTTTGACAGAAGCCACCTACTTCAATGAGATCATCGAGATGGACACTTTCCATATGAAGTGGAATGATGAAAAAGTTCGCATCTTAGCAGTCATTGATTTGTTCACGAAGTATGAGGTGAACGCATTGTTGCCAAGAGAAACAGAAGAAGCAGAACTGCAAGTGCTGGAGGAGTTATGGTTCCATCCTTTCGGCTTTCCAAGTCGATTGAAGACAGATGCTTCGGGAGCACACATGAGCCAGAAGTTTCTGGACGTCATGGACCAATACAAGATCAAGCTGGTGTTG